GCCCCGCCCCGGCCGCTCGCCCTGCCCCTGCCGCGCTCGCCGGCGGCTTGCTGCTTCTCCGTGTGTTTCTGTCGACACAGCTGCCCCTTCACCTCTCAAATGTTCTGCTCAAACGTTTGAAGTAACGGGTGGGCTAGAAATCGTTACTTTTGTGGTGAATTGACCTCCTATTTGCTTCTTTCTTAACCTCCACCCCCTTCAGTGTAGGTGGAGCCGTGCTTCGGAGCACTTAATTCCTGATCCCAGAGAGTCTCGTAGGTCATGAATAGTGCTTGTAAGGTTAGGACGACGCCGGTGGATAACAAGGCATTGTGTTAACGCCGCTTAGGTTACAAAGGGATTACTTTCACGCTATCGCGTGTGACTTTCTTATTCGGTAGAAAGTTTTTCAGTTGAAAAAAAGAGTTTTCCTAGAAGCAAATAGCATAGCTGTTTTATTGCAATACATATTGACAAAAAAATCATGCTGTCTTTTCTTGTGCCTTGATGGATTTTATAGTTACGTATGCCTCATGGAAAACTGAGTTAAATTGAACCAATGGTAGTGTTACGTGGTTGGAAATATGTAACAAAGTGCTGGGTTAGGAGATTTTTATGCAGGCTCTTTGAAATATTGTTATTGGTATATCGTTTGAGACTTTTCTAAATTGTTGGATGTCAGACATTTTAGGGGAAAAAAATTGTAAGTACTAAAAATGGCCAAAGGTGTTTGTTCATTCATCAAAGACAATTATATACCCTTGTGAGTATATTAACAGTCTATGTTACTTGTAATTTAAATATAGTTATAAGTAAGCTTGGAACTCTGAATTCCTACTTATAATTACGTCTGTTCTGTCAGATGCCACTTTCAGCATTCCTGATTCTTTCATACTTGGATTCTGTTCGCAAAGGAATAAACTGTGATGAAAGTAAAATGTTATACAGTACAGTGGAGACTTAGGTTGTGTGTAGTTTTATTATTCAGCTCAGTAATATTCAGTTTCTGACATGTAACTTTATGTCGCATATCTGTTAGGAAACAATAAAAATTTTATAATTTTATAATTAGGGTAATAAAGATTCCTCCTAGAATTATTGTATAACAATTGTAACAAACTGAAGTTTCTCATGCGTTCTATTTGATTGCATTTCATAAATGGGTTGTAACAACTCTTTTTTTGGACCAAATTGTACACGCATTTCGGATTTTATCTTTTGGACAAAACCACTGTTTTTGTTCTCCCAAGGTTATTCCAAATTTGATTTTGATAAATGCCATGATTTGCTTTTTTTAAAATACCTTTTCAAATACATATTATTATGCTTGTTTTCATTTTCTTTCATTCCTACATTAATGATAGCTGTTTTATAGCTGAACTTAATGAATCAGAGAGAAACCATGTCAGGAACTTTTTATGAAAAAAATGTTTGGATTCGTATGTCATTGTTATAATTACAAAGAATCAAAGTTACTTTATCGTGAAACTGCAAGCTAACATAAATATAGAAAATGAAGATAGGGTCTTGATTAAGTGTAAGTTGATTTAACTATTTCAGTTTTACCATATGAGGTTTTCCTGAAGGCAAATTTTACTTTTCGATGATGTCACTGGGTATGTCATTCTGTTATCCCACTAAAATTTATTTGATTATCTCATTTTTTCTTCCCAGAAATATAATCCTTTTAGTACTGCAGTAAATTGTCAAAGCTATTGGTCTGATAAATAAATCTTTGTCGAAATGATCCTTGCTTATAGTATGTTAGTAGAAAGACTACATCATTTGATGGAAAAACTTCAGGTGAGAATTTAAGGCAGTTACAGAAGGATACACCATCCTGTGAGTAATGAAAAGCCAGCAATAAATCATCTTTTTGGGATGCTGTGTTATCCTGAGTTATGCAGTTGATATAAAAGTTTTTCCATGAGCTGTTTTGCATGAATATAAAAATATTTCACCACGCACATCTAAATGCAGACTGTTTAGGAACTTTTTTTTCTTAAGAGATTGTAACATCTTTTAAACCTAGAACTGAAAACCGGGTGGTAACGACAGTAAGATAACTATGATAAATCTTGACATTTGTAATGCATTCTCTTTTAGATACTTTTTTTTTTTAAAGGGATAAGCCATTTATGTCATTTTTGGTGGTAAACAAACTGGATTGAGATGTTGGAATTTATTGTGGAGGTTAAAGGCCATACAGCAGTTCACTGGTAGAATACAAGGTTTTAAACTGAGGATCATGGAGTGCTGTGATCGCTCTATTTGCATCAGGAGAATTCCACCTCAAGTTGTCTTGATTCTCAACCCCTCCCCTTTTACTTGTCTTCTTCCTTATTCTCTCTAGTCCTACTCTGAAATGAATTAGAAACTTCCGCTATTAATAAAGGTACCTAACAAAAGGGTGCAGAGAGAGATGCCTATGTTGGTTAGGCATCAAAGTAGGAGAAAATTAGCATCTGAGTTCAGCTGCTGGGAAGTTTAACGTGAGGCCAAAACAAATAAGCTTTGCAAGTATTCTCTAAAATCAGTTTTGCAATTCTTGCTTAAGTATTTTGAAGCAATCGAGCGAAATCTCAGTGAAGATGTTGATGTTGTTTATCCAAATAACACAGCAGGGTGAGCCTTTCAAGTATTGATCTGCTATTACATACTGTGTGCCGGAGTACCAGAAGGAACCATACGTAATGCAACTATGCTTGTTCAAAGAGAGCAGATGTATGAAGTTACATCACTAACATTATCTCCTTCAAAGGAATGTGACTTCTAGTGAATTCTACGGTAATGTTAAGATTATGTTGTTCATGTGGTGAAAAAGAAATCAACACAATCTTTAGCTATGTACTTTGAACGCATGTGCCATAGGAAACAGAATGAGCCAAGGAGAAGGGCAATTACATAGAGAAATTCCCTCTTTAAGTATATGCTTTTGTGATCTCCATGTCTGTTAGCAACGTGTTGGTGATGTTGGGGAAAAAAGAATTGCTATCAATTATGGATGATTATGGACTGTTAGGCTTGAGGAAAAAGATGAAACACGTGTGTTCATACAGTAAACTGTGAACCTTATTCATCCTGCGTTGCAGTATAAGAATCAGAGGGAGACTGCAAAAGGAAAAAAGTAACCGCTGTTTGAAGTGGTTAGTCTCCATGCACACCCACTGGCATGTCATAAGTACCATTTAGTGTGCAACCAGCAACTGCAAAGTCGCTGGGTCGATTATAGTGTAGAGTAGGCGGAAAGGACGAGATGTGAGTACATCCTAGTTTTGCAATGGCTGCTTGACATATTTGACTCTTTCTGATTACACTTGCTGCCTGTACCTTTACTGCTCTTGTGTTTTTGTGATAAGAATGTGTTCCTTACTTGAGGATTTTATAGACAAAGGATCTTTCCTTCTGGTCTCTGTGCATAGGGAGGGGACATAGGGAAAGGACGAACATAAAATATTTTTTGTTTTTGCTTGATAATCATTCAAGAGTTGACAATCAAAACCTTCATGTTATATTTCTGCAGTAATTTTCTTTATTCTAATGCAGGTTGCAAATCAGTAAAGTCCCAGTGTGAGTAAAACTGTTACTCTTCTTTTGTAGCTATTTTCAGTCAAACTCACCTAGTTCTTTACAGTTTGGACTTCCCTGGACTATTTTTTGTGTGTGAACGGGTATTCCAGTTAGTTCCTTAAATGAACATTTTCCTCTTGTTGACTTCTACAGATGTGCTTCTGTCTACTGAAAAGCTTCAGTAAGCAGAACTTCATTAATAAAGTAACATAGCTCATAAATTTGTTTAAATATGTGCTGCATAAAATGCCTCACTTAGTCTGTCCTGTGTAGTACTGGAATATTTATATGGAATATATATTTATATACATATTCCATATGTAGAATGGAGTATTCAGATTATTGAATTTTTGCTTACACATTTGCATACTATTGATTATTGAAATTATTATGTGCTTATGTCACCATCACTCTTCAATATGTGGTTACCTACCTGCTTTTAATATGCTGTTTAGTGGAATGTTTGAGTATGTCTATAATAAATTAATGGTTTCATAACGTTTCATTAACAGACAGAAGCTGATATGCATGTTGGAAAATTTGAAGTCATTGATCACTTCATCAAGGAACTAAATCTGAATGAATTGAAAATAAATCATGAGCAGAAGAAAGTAAAGAGCAAGCATCAGGTTGCATCAGACAAGTTTTCATCTCTCCTAGTGTCCGTAGGCAGTGCTGAGGTAGTGTACAGTTTGGGAAAAGAAATTCTTTTTGTTTAGGATGCCTTAGGTAGAGTGGCCTTAGGTTTTTCCACGGTGTGCTAAGTGAGGGATCAGGCTATCAGACTTGCACAGCCCATTGACCCCTGCTCATGTCTGTCAACATAATATCCATCCTATACATAGGATGTGGGCTATCCATGCCTGCTGCTTTCTGCCTACTAAAAGCATTTAAGTTAAATGTTTTTGTGTGCTTATACAAACTTTTTTGGTTTTTTTATTTTGCTCTTGATAGAACATTGCAATTTAGTTGTGAGCAAGACCACATAAAAATTGAGTGATCTTATCAGGGTAGCTAGAGTAAGCCCAGAAAACAGGGTGCTGCGTTTCCATAGCTGGTACTAAAAATGTTGCTATTGTATGTAACTGAGGAGACGATTATCATCAGAAGTGCTGTGCTAATTATGTTGCGGCACCGATTTAGGAACTGTGCTCAGGATCAACCTGTACAGGCCTTGAAAATCAGGACAAAGGATTATTACTAAATGGTATGTTTAATGAGGAGGAGTCTGCAAAGTCTTTTCAGGAAGCTGTGCTTCAATGGAGAAAAGGTAATCGGGATCACAGAGAACAACTGCGTGCCAGTGCAGTCCTATCAGGTATGGTTTTTTCCTGTTTTAATTGCATTTAAAAACCATTACGAGCCATTTTGGTGAGTTAGCAGATTTTTGATTAGTGAAGGTTATGTTAGAATAGTAAATGTTTCTTCTTAAGTTTTCTCTCTGTGTTCCTTTATAAATTAACAACCTCTGAAGTTTTTTTTTTTCAGTAACGTGCAGATTAGTGTTTACACCAATTCTTGTAATGAACTGTGGTGTCGGCCAGATTGTTTAGCTTGTGTCCCTGTACTTTTCTATGGCATTGTTTCTCACATGAGACTTTAATATCAACTGTAATACTCAAGCATAAAGTCACAGCTTTTAAGCGA